GACCTATCCACGTCATCATTTACCCAGAATGCTTTGCGTGTAAATAAAATGGCTCCGTCCGTGTTAAAATATATATTTTTAAAAATGATAAAAACTAAACATCCTACAGTATTTTTACAGTCTTTATTTTACAGTTAAAATAAATGTTTATCAAATAAAGTCTAATGTTACAACTAATCAGGATCCCTTTAAGTCTTCATGCTCATTGTAACATGTAATAATCCAGGATCCTGCTGTATAAATGAGAATTCTTTGGTTTAGAGACAGACCTGCACAGATATACACAAAAAAAAAACCAAAATAATTCTGCAATATTAACGTAACTTTATTGTTTACGATAAACATTTAACTGGTTCAGGATGGGAGCAGGAGGGAGGCTCCTGGAAAAACATGAACTCTTAGTAAATTACAAACCGACACTAAAAAAATAACATTTATATTTGATACTGACCGTAGTTATTTTTTATGTTGCATGAGGGAAATGTAACGATCACCCACTACACAGTCTGACCACGGGGGGAATTTGCTGCCACTCTTGAAACAACCTTTAACCATTGTGAACTACTGTAGCTGCTCAACTAACTTAAAGTATACTAGGGCTGAGTATTTCTAATAATTTTGATGTACTGTATTGTAATACTGTAAGCARGACAATATATCACGATAATTTGTGACATTATAAGCAAAGAGATACGTCCTCATTTTTTTCTCTAAAAGATTCTAACTTTAAATTAAAAACTCTAAATAGCTCAACATGCATTACATTAATAAAATCTGACCCAACTCATAGATAAAAACCAAATATATCACAATATTTCAGTGTATCGCTTTTTTCTTACACCTCTAAAAATAGACACAAAACAGTCAGTCAGCAGAAACAAATACAGAAAAACTGAGAAACCAACAAGTTTTTGAGTGACTGAGTTTAGTTTTATGTTTTACAGGAATCGTTGATTCGTTCAGGTTAGAAAAGAAGTGCAGGAGAATCTAAAATATTGSTTTTATCCAGATGGACAGAAGACACCGAGACGCTGGGCCCAGATGGAGGATTTAGAGGGTTTTTTAGGATTAGGCTGGTGTGAAGAGACATTTCTGGAAGACATCCTACACACACACACACACACACACACACACACACACACACACACACACACACACACACACACACACACTTATTGCTGTTTGCTGAGATCCACCAAGCTTCAAGACCTGAATCCTGACTCAGGTACAGTGGGACACTTGGACTGGAGTCTGGACTTTGGCTTAGCGGGGCGTTCAGGGTCATTGTGTTGATGTTTGGTGGACCAGCTTCACGGTTTTCTTTCACCTCCTGGATGTTCTTTCTGACACGCCTTCCTCACCTGTGCAGGTGTTTCTTTGATGACCTCATCAGTTCTGTGGGAGCTTCAGGGTTCTGGGATAAACCAACCCAGATCTGGACTTCCCTCAACTTTGCTATACAGAGTAAAGGGGTAGCTAAAATGTTAAAGGCTAGCTAAAGGCTAAAATTAATTTAACACTAACCAAAACTCAAAGTAGTAGAAGTCTAAATCAAAAGTTGCAGGAGGCTAGCAAAAACAGCAAATGGTTAGCCGAAAGATATGAGTAGAGAAATCTAGCTAAAAGCTAAAAKTAAAACATTAGCTAAAAGTCAAAAGAATCAGAAGGCTAACTAAAAGCAAAAGTGATATAAAACACTAGCTAAAACTGAATAAGAAGTCTAGCTGAAAGCAAAAAAGTGATTTAAAACACTAGCTAAAAGAATCAGAAAGCTATAGCTAACAGAATCGAGGCCGGTGGAACCGATGAGGAGGAGGAACTTTCTTCCCTCCAGTTCTTGGTCCTCCATCGGTTCTGGACCTCAGCAACAGGTTCCTGGAAGGAAATCCTTGAACCCAGCTGTCAACATCAGCCGACAGCTAAAACTGCAGCCTTGTTTGTTGTGTTGATTCAGCTGCTCTGATCAGATGAATCAGTAACTGAAGAGTAATTGGACCTCTGACCCTCACTGTGGACCCACGCAGACCCGGGCAGGGGAGTGGTTCTGGACTGGGTGGGACAGTCCAGAGCCTGTTTCCTGATCCCAGACCTGCCTGACATGAAAGTTTRATGTGTTCTGCTCTTTACATCGTCTCCCTGCACCTGTTTGTGTTTGGAGCTGCAGATGATGTTATGAGCTTAATGCTCAGCCAAACAACAAACAACAGAACCGACCGGTCCGTTTGCAAACATGCAGGAGGTTCGGTTTCACCACAGAGAACTGAACAAACAGTGACCRCATGATAAAACCGTCCGAATCTTCCCTTTACCTTCTGGCAGATTATTAAAGAGCTGAAAGAACAAGTAGCTGAATGTTAGATTATTATTGTGTTAACGCTGAGTCAGCGTTAACACCACCGTTTATTTTCARCACAGTTTTCATGTTTCAGCTTGTTCAGGAGGTGGATTAGCCTGGCCCTGGCCTTCCTACGCAGTTCCACTTAACTCTAGTTCCCTTCACTGCTCCGTCTGCGACTTCTCCCATAGAGAACGATTTCTTCAGGAGAAATGTCATTCGAACCAATCGGAGAACAGAACAACGATGTTCTGTGTCTGTTTGTAGTTTATTTTACCTGG